TCTGTTCAGGTCTTCTCCATGTGGAGCCATGATGCAGACATAGATAGACACAGTCCAGAGGTCCAGAACTGAGAAGGTTCTGCTGCTCTCAGCTCCTTGTAGAACCATGTTCATGCAGGTAGCCGCATGAAAACCACAGTTTAGTTTAGCAGATATTCCAGAGGGTGGATTCACGTCCGTCCGACTTCTGTAAACAAACACTGAACAAGTTCGAACCTCCACAACTTTCATCATCGACGTGAAAACCTGCAGCTGCTTCCACATCGAACCCGCCGCCACAAACAGAGCACGAAGATGAGCAGATAAATCCCAGGGCTCAGGAGGATATTTAACATATTTAAGTGTCACAAGTTCTAAATGTCACGCCGGTCCTCACAACGCTACACACACTTGGGAGCTCGAACACACACATTTTTGTGCGCACACACCGGCTGCGTCCAAGATAAACACGGAGCTACATGCATGATTTAAGATCACAAGAGCTGCTGCTGTTCTGACACGATCGCAGCGATAACAGCGTGACACAGAGCGGCTGTGTGTTAAAACACGTCTTATCCTGTTTCTCATCTCACAAACAAAGTCCTGCAGCAACACGACGCAGCGACACGGCCGGGAATCGAACCGGCGACGGCGTTCCAAGGTCCGGAGGGTTCTGCTGCGGTTCTGGGACGCAGCTCGTGATCTGGAAACGTTTCCAAATCCCAGCAGATCTGTGTTTGTTACTGATCGTTTGCTTCACTGCAAGACAAGAAACATCTAATTTATTAATTGAGGTAAAGTTTTGTTCGTGGCGGCGCCGCTGATCGACTCCGGATCCGATGGTTCAAACATGTTGTTTAATTAATGAAACTCCTAAAAACTATTCACAAACTAAAACTTTAAAAAGAAGCAAAAAACTACTGAAGAAAATGTCATTGGAGCAACTTCCTTTTTGAAATGTTTTTCAGTATAAAAGCGTCAGAATTATGGCGATTAAGCCCTGAACACTGGTCCAAACGGGTCTGGTTAGTGGTGCTCCAGGGTTCTGACGTGGTTTAATGACCCAGTTAATGGTTATGTTGCAGGTAACTGAGTTGTACAGAGACCTCATTTCTATGAGACTCGTCTTTGGTTTGAGGGAATGGAACCGAGGACCGGGTCAGTGGTTACTCACAGGCAGGTACTGTGCAGTCCCTGGTGTTGTAGTACAGCCTGTGGAACTGTTTCCGGCACTTCGGGTCGAAGGAGAGAGGACCTGAGGACAGAACGAGAAGCGTGACCAGAACAGAAAAACAACCAGAACATGCAACTGTCCAGTACTTCTGTTGGAGACGGCGACCCGGAGTCCAGGTGCTCATACCTGTCAGGTGTATGATGAACTTCTCTTTGTGCCGTGGATCTCTGGAGTGACCCTCTGAAAAACATTTTAAAAATAAAGTTTGTATGTGTCGTATCAGCAGCAGCATGAAGACGTTTGAGGTCGTTTACATCAGTGTGTCAGAATAAAGTTCATGGTCCAGTTGTGTTACTGCCACCATCAGGAAGGAAACA